GAAAACTTTAAATTTCGGCATAATTCTGCCGAGGCGTAACGATCGCCAGCTACGAAGCTTTCTCCGAAGTAGTCGAAGCAGAATTTGTCTGTCTTCGAATCCTTCCGAGTTAATCGGAAAGGATCAGAAGACTCTAAGTCAGCTGCTTCGGCCGACCTCTTACGGCTCGACTGGTTGCCAGAGTCCAGAGCCACGCCCTTGCCTTTGTCGATTCTCTTCTTCTTTTTCTTCCTCCCGGCCGTGTCTCCTTCAGACAGAGCGACCTCTTGTTCGGCAGTTACGACCTCCTGCCCGGGAACCTCGCCCTCACCTCCACCATCGTCTTCCAGATCCACGATCGCAGGTTCAGTAGGGGCGATCTCTCCTCCGGAAGCCGGTTCGACTACGGCGACCTCCATAGCCGTTGTCGTTGGTGCCACGAGCTCGGCATCACGAGCCTGGAGGGCGGTAACCGAAGTACCTGATGATTTGGCCAGCTCCTCTGCGAAGTTTGGATACTTTCTCGGGATCCTTCCCATCGCTTCTTCAACTCGCTTTCGGCTAAATTGGTACCACACTCGATTCTCCCCGCTAAACAGGCTTGCCACAATGCCGGAGTACTCCGTTGGGAAGGTAGAAAAGTTTCGGATGCGATCTGAACAAAAGAGGAGAAGTCAGGTCAGAACGATAAGGGAATTCAAAAGAAAAACGTAGATTAAGTACCCGGATCACTATTCCATCGTCGGCGTAAGCCAACAAAAGGATTTTCGAGTGAGAGGTAGTCAGCTCGGACATAAAAGAAACGTTTTTCCCAGCCTTTGAAATTGCTGACTCGGGTTCCGGGAATGACGTTCTGTTTCTCCCTCATGTTCACGGTGAAGTTGCCGGCGACCCTGGATTTCTTCAATACCGTCATCTCCTCAAAGCACATGACGGGAACCCTTGTACCGACCTCAGACGCTAGGGTCAGTACTCCAACGATGTTACAAATACTGGCCGGAGCGAGCTGAGAGATCGCCAGCTTACGGCGATGAGTATATTGGGACAAGAGCTCGGGCAGAGGAAACCACAGGCGGCAGCGGGTGAAGTACATCTCGTACAGACAGATGTATCCCTTTGGAGGAGTCCATGGGCGTTGAGTCTCATGCGGAATCAGGATACTGACCCCGGATCTCCCCAAACCGCAAACGTCGAGCATCTCGTTGATGCTGCTCACAGTACTAGAGGTCGGAATTCCACCGATCTGACCTTTGTGGTCGAGGGTAAGCTGGATATCATTCAAGAAAACGCCCGGTGCGGCAAAGCGATCCTCGCCCCTTGAGCGAACGGGATTAGAAGACTCTCCGGTTTCCATGGCGGTCGCGGCGTTATTCCTACCATCTCGGATCGGAATTTCAGTTAGCTCGGGAATGGAAGCCCGAACGGGGCGAGATGAGGAAGCCTCATTGCTAGGACGGCGCATCGAACGAGTGTTAGAACGAATTAGTGGTGCGACCTCACTATCAGACGGAGAGTGCGATGTCGACATTGTCGGAGTAGTATAATATGACCGGAGAATTTAAAGTCGGCGGCGATAAGTTAAAAGAAAAAGAGGAGAGAGGGCAGAGCGAAATTTTACCTTTTGAGCAGAAAAGCGGAAATGAGGAAAATGAAAGGCATTGAGCAAGTATTTATAGAAGCGAGCGGGAGACAGACCTACGAAAAAATAATGATGACCTAGGCGACGCTTCGACTTCCGACCTATATGCCGCTCCACAGATGAGTGACGCGTGGCAACGTTTCCGAGATAGGCGACGATTCGGATATATTTGATTCGTTTCCCTCTTAGCTTAGGTCAGGCATAATTAGAAGTTCCATAATTCGAATGAACATTCGACCCATCGAACTGGGGGGGGACTTATTGTTGGTGTAGGAATTAGCACCAACGACATACCGGCCTAAACCAAGACGGAATCGAATTAAACCAATAAATCGGGGAATCCCGGTTTATTGTCCAAT